CCTTGGTAGGCAACAAAATTTAAATTTCTCCGAATAATACCACCGCACGTTGTCCACGCGGTCGCCAAGTGGACGAAAGCTAAGCGTATGAAATTCTCCAAACTCTTCTCTTATTTCCAAAATGGGATGAACCCAAAATCATCTCACCTCTTTTTTTCTTCTTTGCATTATTTGTATAAGTAATAATGCAATAACAACTTGTTTCTTTGTAGTTAAACTTCGCATAATTTTAGTAACTGGACGAACCCAAGTCGGCAAGCAGTAATGTGGTGAAGTTTTTGTTTCTTAAAACTTCGGAATTTAACATGTATATTCTAAATAAATAAAGCGTATTTTGTTATAACAGTTCGGTCTCTGAACATGTGAACTCCGTCACTGCGTCGCGGCCGCGCGGCGGCGACATATTCGCGTCAAATAAACGCGCCCTTAGAGTTAATTTTCAATTACCATCAGACTCGATCCATCCACAGTAACAACATAATATTATATAGCAACATAATATGATCCCTCACAGAATTATTTGTTTTTATAATTTAAATGACCTTTTTCCTTCTTACTAAGGGAGATTCGAGTAGGTTCAATAATTATAATAGAATAAATAGGATAAAAGGGAAAATGAACCATTTATTGTTTGTACAATTTATTCTAATAAAACAAAATAACAATTTAAAATTTTTTAATAAATACTTATTTTCGGATAATATCGCGGTTTTTTAGACGACGTCCCGACGTTTCGAAGACTGATTCCTTCATGGTCACGGGGCGGAATGAGCTGTTGGTCGTCTTCGATGTCTAACATTCGCGTAAACTTATAAATATTAAATCAATCAGATTCCAAAACACTTTCATCGAGATATTTCACCCCAGAAAACTCTATTGTATCTTGGCTAGACGTTCCGGCAACAACAAACTCATCTGAATCACATGAATCTGAAGTGGTCTCGCTACCGCTCTCATCTCTGACGTTAATAACCAATTTTTCAATGTCGTCATACATAGTCATACCCCTTTCATAATACTCTTTTTCAATTTTAATAACATGTTGGCATGAATTTTTCAATCTTCGGCAGTAATCGCATGGAATGCTTGTTCAGCTGCCATCTGTCGGAATAAAAATATTATTGATTATGAGTTCAACTTAATAACATTAAGAAAAACTAATTATGAACTAGATCCCTACCTTTATGTCAATGGACCCTACATTGACAGAGGCAATTTTATGTTTTGCAATTCCCCATATCAATTCAATAGGATTGAGGTCACAATGATATGGAGGCAGCCGTACCACAGTGTGACCATGATCCCCCAATATTTGGTCAATTTCATAAAGGGCCTCTGGTTTGTGGCGTTTTACAAGCATTAACAATTCAGGTTTACGCATCATTTCATCAAATTGTATATTGTTTTGTAGCAACCACAGCTTTACATCAGCATTTTTTGTTGCACTGGTTGGGGCCTTATTTATGACTACCGAATGGTAAGGAGCATTGTCCATAACAATAATGGAAGGCTCTGTCAAATTGGGAATTCATTTCTCGGTAACCCACTTAGTGAAATTTGCTCTATTCATTTCAGAATGGTAATCTTCATTCTTGTTTGTGCCACTGAAAATTAATAGTGCATTTGGAACAAACCCCTTTTCATTCCCAGCATGCACAATAATATATCTTTTGCCTTTAGATATATTGTGTCGCACTCCACTAACTTCAATTGATTGCCAACATTTTTTAAGCTTGTAAGATGAGTATACGTAGCTTTCATCCAAAAAAATAATTTGTTTTTGGAGTTCTTGAGGCAAATTTGCATTTACAACATACATGCATATTTTGCATTATAATTTTTAAATATTGTTCCCTCTTTGCTGCTATATCAGGCTTCTCCATTAGAGCCAATCTGTCTGTTTTACATTTTTTGTAAGAGAAACCCAGAGAATGTAATATCTTTCTTAGATGTCCACGGCTTCCATTAAATCCCAAATCTTCTTTAACTATAGGTAATAAATTTCGTAGTGTAGGCACCTGAGAAAAAAAATAAAAAGTTTTTATTTATTACATAATACTGTTTTTTATTGAAGAAAATGGCATTAATATAAAATATAATACATGCCCGTTTTTTTACCGTGTAGAAGAAATGAACCTTTTGTCTAATTGCGCAGAGGTCAAAATCATCGAGATCTTTCTTTGGTCGACCTTTCCTATGGTTACCAGGTGTAGAAAACACGCCATTATTTTTTTCACCTTCAACAATTTTTCTTATGGTATTGACAGATTTACCTAAAATAAATATCAAACATACACAAATATACAAAAACACCAATTTATTTGAATTTTAAGTCTTGAAAGAATCAAAAATATTAAGTCAACTTATAAATGATACGTAAACATAACCTTAGTTACTATTTTGTCAACTAAACACAAAAACTCGTTAATTGTATATTATAAGTAGTGCAAAGCGCGTAATTCGACATGTAGAACGTAATAATAATTGAATAATTTGCATAAATACCTGTCATATCGGCTGTTCTCTGATAAACATTGTTAATTTCAGACAAAATTTGTCCCGCTTGAGATTCAGCCAAACATCGTAAAAAAACTTGGTATATCACTGTTCTACCACTACTACGAATCGTTTTGTTCATTTTAAATAACAAAACAAGCAACAACCGTACGAGAATTTACAGAACTTCGTATAAAATTACTCAGCGCATACAGCAATAACACAAAAGCTACTGGTTATTTGACACCACTGACATTTTTAATAGTGTTGCCACAAATATCTTTTTTTAGTTCCAGTTTTCACCGCGTCATACTCTTTTTTGCCAAGCTGTAAGTATCACAAAGTAAGCCAATGTTCAACAGGCAGCCTTCTTGCTAAGTAGCATTTTCTTTCAGGCAACTTTGGAATAGAAATTGGGGGGAGCAATCAGGAACGTGGGTTTATGAGTCGAATGCTTTAAAGATTATCATCAAAACACAGTGTTATTTTACAAACATTTTTTTAAGCTTTGATCGTAGTGTGATTTACAATGATAAATGCTTAGTGTCCATATGGACACATTAATTTACTAACCATTACTAGGTTAATACTGAAAACTTTTTTCGGTGTCTCATACAAATGCATACATTAGACATTTGTATGAGATATCTTGAGAATGTGAAGCAAAAAATAATAATTATAATGTAACATTTCGTTATTCGTGAACTTTATTTAATTAGTGGCTTTCCTTAATGATTTTGGAGAGTTACACAAAGTATTATTATAGACTTTAAAGTAGAAACATTATTACATTTATCGTGTTTTAAAATAAGTACAAAAACCGCTTTGGTCTGAAAACTACATAACGGATATGGAGTAAACTATTGTACCGCTTTCTGAAGCTAAAAGATTATTTCATTCGTTGTAATTACATTCTTAGCATTTTTGTATAAATGTCTTATGATTAAGAATTGTTTGAATTATTACTACATTCAGGTAACTTACCCGTCTTAAACAGTATGGATGTGTCGGCGGTTACTCCGTTTAGTTCCTTTCGGATTGTTAAGTCGTTTAGTTTACATAATATGATATGCCCAATAAAAACTTCCAATGATAAATTGTTTCTT